GCCAGGCGAGCGCGCTACCGCTTGAGCCACATCCCCAGCGCTCCCCATCATTCTTATCTTCAACAAAAATATGTATATAAACCGAAACTAATTTTAAAAAATTATTTCCTATAACCAGCAGATTCTAAAAGTTAAATTTCTTCTGTATTTATTTATCATTACAATATTATTAGTCAACAATTTATGAAAACATGTATTATTTTAAATATTAGTAATTATTAAACATAAAGTAAACAAATAGTCATATCTATAGTTATATAGTTATGACTATAGCAAATAGTTATTGCTACAATGGGACTGAGTTCAACATTAATTCTCTTCAATATTTCATTTGAGTAGGCAAGCTCTGAGAAACCTAGTTTGCATAAATCAGATAAGAAATTCCATTATAGAAATGCCAGCTACTTCTTTGAATATCTGAGTTATATGATAAAAACCATATAATGATCTATCAAAAATTATTTTCAATGATCTATTAGCTGACAGCTTAGTTAGGTCTTGCTCCAATTTAGTTAAAGGCGAAGACTTGGAAACCATCCAGTATGTAAAGGATTTGTTACTCAGTCAAAAGTGTCATTCAAGTTCTCAGTTTCTGGAATTATACCAATAAGCTTTCTGAAGACTTATCATGATTATTAATTATATCTTTTTTTTTTTCATTTAGTGCACCTTGTTTACACTTACATACTCAGGAGGATTCAAAAAGTGAAAATGTTAATTCCAATATATTTTTTGCTATTTTATTGATCATATCTGTTTATCTTATCACATGCTTTAAATATATTTTCACTAATATCTTGGAGCTGCAGACATACATCATTTATAAAGAACATCTGTGGTGCACACCTGTAATTCCAGTGGCTCAGGAGGCTGAGGCAGGAGGACTTCGAGTTCAAAGCCAGCCTCAGCAATTAATGAGGACCTAAGCAACTCAGTGAGACCCTGTCTCTAAATAAAATACAAAATAGGGCTGGGGATGTGGCTCAGTGGTTGTTGAGTGCCCCTGAGTTTAATCCGTAGTACCAAAAAAAAGAAAAAAAGAAAAGAAAAAAAAATCTGTTGACATTCTTATTGGAAAAGGACTGTCCTTTTTAAGAATCTCATAGGATTCTCTTTCACTTATGATGCTTTTTTTTCAGTACTGGTGATTGAATCCAGGGCTACTTTACCACTGAGCTACATTTCCAGTCCTTCTTTTTCCTTTTTCCTTCTTTCTGTTTTTTAGACACAGTCTTGCTAAGTTGCTGAGAATAGCCTTGAACTTGTAATTCTCTTGCCTCGGCCTCTTGAGTCACTGGGATTATAAGAGAGCACCACCATGCCCAGCCATATGATACATTTTTGAACAATAGAGAATGAAAATGTTATTACATTTTAAAATATTTGGAATTTTCCTTTCTTTTGGCACCCTACAATCCTTACATTGTAAGCTTTCATCCAAAATAAGAATCAAGCAACTGAATTAACAAATGAATTGGACTAGTAGTAAGGCTGACCAAGAAAAAAAAATCTCTGGCTCTTAACACCCACACTCAGAAATGGAATGATGCTAGAAATAAGTTCTTTGAAAGACTGTTACAACTGTTACACAAAACCTGAAAATGAGAGAATTTTATAAACACTAAAAAACACGATTTTCCCCAGTACACTGTCTTTGGAATTTGGAATATTGCACTTTGCTGCCTATTGGTGTAAAGAACTGCAAAGGATCTAAGATTTCATTTCAATCTATTTACCAAGGTTAGTAAGGTAGACCATATAACTATTTTACCAAGTTGAGGGGACAAAAAGAGTATTAAGGAGGGAATGAAAATGTAGTTCTGTGGTATAGCATTTGCCTAGCATGCATGAGACCCTGAGTTTGACCTTCAGCACTAGAAGAAAAAAAGGATTAAGGCGTTTCTGCATTTCCCTATCTTGGGAGGTCTAAGATGTACTTTTTCCAGGTACCAGGGCCTCCATGGCCATATAATTGGTATATCCCATCCCAGTTGCTATAACTACATTTTTCTCCAATCATGCCCTACTTGCACCCAGACATTTTATTTGGGAGGGTCAGACATGAGAGGTTCAGGGGTAGCTTTACAAAATTTAGGGACCCATTATATCCCCACTTGGCCCATGTATTATACAGTTAGAGGGACCTGGAAAACAGTGTGCTCTTTAGGTAGTCATTACCCTTATGATATAGAACCATGCCAGTCCATGCTGGCTAATCAAKAATTAAGTTTGGGGGCTGGAGTTGTGGCTCTATGGCAGAGCGTTTGCCTAGCATGTGTTCGATTCTCAACACTGCATACATAAATAAAATAAAGGTCCATTGATAAGTAAAAAAAAAAAAAATTAAAAAAAATTGTTTGAATTTCCTAGGTCTCTTCTGCCTTGGCCAATGGTCTAAGTCATACCCTCCCTAGGGAACATCTGAAGAGTATATTAACAGTCTAGTTATACTAGTATACTAATCAGACTGTCCTGGGGTTGCCTTTTGGGGAAACAAAGATATATAATGTCTGGGAATGGTCAGGGTAAATCCAAAATTTCCAAAATGGTTCTATGACTCTTTAAATACCATTTTTAAAAGTTTTTTTTTAAAAAGATGGACACAATTTATTTATTTTATTTTTATGTGGTGCTGAGGATCAAACCCAGTGCCTCGCACATGTGCGAGGCAAGTGCTCTACCACTCAGCTATAACCCTAGCCCCTAACTTATCATTTTGATCATTATCCAGGAACTGACCAAGAAGAAGATGAATCCTTTCTTGGAAAGGCTGCATTCAGTGACCATTTTTTCTTATTAAGTAGTGTGGACTAGGATGCAGTGAGGGAAGTAGAGTCAGAAATCCCTGATTTTTGAGAAGACCTGTACAATAGTCAATAATACCAAATGTTTTCAGATGGAATATGGAATGTTCATCTAACACTTTGACTAGTGGCCCATTGCTGGGTGGCATTAAGTTCCCCTTACTTCTAGATCCCACATTGGTGATATAGACCAGAGGGATGTCACAAATGCAGTAAACTACATTATAGGAGAGGAATGTTGAGCTCAGGGACTCTACTTATTTTATAGCAAGCAATGACCAAGTTTGCTCTTTACCTTGAAGGGAAACATATCATTTTTAAAGGTTGCTTGCTGCAGTGTCATTCTGAGTAGTCATCTAGATAAAGAGTGGTTAGGGCCTTGCATTCTTGGTCTATCTGGTGTTAGGAGTACAAGAGCCTCATAGAGATAAAACTCCCAACAGTTTTCTCAGTGCTCTCACACTCCATGCCAATGGCCAAGACAAAACAAAATAAAACAAAACTAACAATAAAGAAAAAGAAGTTAATCAAGTAATTCCAATCAAAGATAATCTATTGAAATAAGAAAAATTGCCCCCTTAACTCAGTCTTCTTTTTGGGTATCTTCTGCCTTGTGTTTTCCAACCACAAAATAAGACATTGTTTCTTTGGGATCTATAGTTTTCTTCTAAAATGAAAAAGTTGTCTTTTATAGTCCTCTTATAACTTAATGTCCTTTTTTTCTTAGATAGTCTCCTGAAAGAAAACATAGCTTGGTAATTATTAATGAATAGTAAATTATCTTTTTTTTTTTAAATTTTTTTTTAATATTTATTTTTTAGTTCTTGGCAGACACAACATCTTTGTTGGTATGTGGTGCTGAGGATCGAACCCGGGCGCCAGGCGAGCGCGCTACCGCTTGAGCCACATCCCCAGCCCGTAAATTATCTTGCCATATTATTTATTTAAACAATGTTGTGCCTACTATGTGCTAGGCACTGRAGACACAAGGATGACTGGATGGCTTTCCTTGCAAGACATGTCTACTATTTCAAAGGAGTGTTTATGTAATTTCAATAATTTTTTAAAAGAATTTGAAATTTAGAAGACTATAAAACACAGAACAGTTTGCTATTTACTAAGCTAAATTTAGCCTTAGTTCTCTATTAGATCTATATTAAAAATGTATAGACAAAGCCAGGTATAATGGTGCCCACCTGTAATCTCAGCTACTTGGGGAGATTGAGACAGGAGGATTGCAAGTTTGAGGCCAGTCTAGGAAACTTAGTGAGATTCTATATCAAAATAAAATTTTCAAACTGTTGGGGTGTTTGGGCTGGGGTTGTAGTTCAGTAGTAGAGCGCTTGCTTCGCCCATGTGAGGCACTGAGTTCGATCCTCAGCACCACATATAAATAAACAAATAAGATATTGTGTCTACAACTAATAATAATAATAATAATRATAAAAACTGGTGGGGTATAGTTCAGTGCTTGCCTAACACGTATGGGGCCCCTGGGTTCAGTCCTCAGTACTGGGGGGGGGGCAGGTATAGACATAGACAAGGAATGCTATGCACATCAACAAGGTGGCTACTTGGCTTCCAGTAACTTTCTATAAAAGGTTCCTTCAGAGAAGGTGGGCCAGCAGTTACTTATCTGCTTTTTAACCTGCTCCCTCATTCCACCCCTCCTCCATAGCTGATTAATAAWGGGATAAATCATATGATCCTGGACTTGTCAAGTCAGGGTCCTAAGAGAAATTAGGAGATAGAATGGGAGGCTTGGCCCTGATACCAGCCATGAAGGAGGTAGTTTGTAACAGGACAGAATAAAGTTGAGTTGGAAGCAGAGACAAGAGTCCTAGCAGTGTTCCCATTCCTGGCATCTGCTTTGCCTGTGACTCAGTGACTATTCTTTCAACARTGATTCAACAGTCCCAATATCTTTTCTGTAAATTCCTCCTTTCTCCCCTACCTGGTTTGAATTGGGTCACTGTTACTTGTATTCAGAAGACCTGACACACAGGGACTAAAGACAGGCATGGGGAGGCAAACTTACCCAGTTTCTCTGTGGCTTCTACACAGACACTTGGATACATTCCCTCAATATAAGTGGCCACCAGAAGAAACAGATGGGTCTTCACAACAATCACACCTCTGTTGTCCTGGATAAAGAATAAAATAGAAAGCCCTGCAAAGGTCCTAACCCAGTGGAACAACTGACATAACACAGAGGCAATACATCTTGGAATTCGTTGGCTCTGGGCTTGAATTCTAGCACCTCCATTTTCTGCTGCATGACTATGGAGGAATTATTTATCCTTTTAAAGTCTCAGTTGCTTTGCCTCCTCTGTAAAAGGAGGCTATTTTGTTTAGAATGTGAAGTGTGCTGAACTCATAATATGAGACATCCAATGGACATGAATTTCATCTCCTGAATTCCTTATAGGTAAGAGAACACCAAGAGGTCCTAATCAAAAAAATTTCAAAATCTGAAATTCTCCAAAGTTTTAAATACTAGAAGTGGAAAATTCCCCATGGACCTCATGTGACAGGTCACAGTACAGTTGCAGGCACACTGAAATTTTGTATACCATTACCTTCAGGCTATGTCTAGAAGGTTTATATAAAACAAATAAATTTCATGATTAGATTTGGGTACCATTCCCAAGGGATCTTATATATCTGCAAATATCCCAAAATATGAAAGATTCTAAAATCTGCAACACTTCTGGTCTTAAGCGTTTATGATAAGAAATAATCAACTAGTATCATTTTGTTTTTTTAAGGAGGAAGAAGTAGAGTATGAAGATGGACTGTCCTGGAAAGAGAGAGTTCAGGCGAGCTTCAGTTGATAAATTCTGGAATGAATGCTTGTCGAACAAGGCTTTCTGATAGCACTTTCTTTCAGATATGCCTTCCTGGCACTAGACTGTTCGAGGCAGTGATGAGGTTAATCTGTTTTATGGAGATGTTCAGGAAGTACAAAGAAAATCAGAGTCAAATTCTTAAGCTTTTTACACAGCTGTCTTCAAATTTTGAACACTCACATTCTTAGCATAAAGAGAATAGTCATCTGCCCGGACGCATTTGTAATCCTTCTCCTTGAAATACAACCCTTCTCTGCGGGTTTGCAAAGGGTTTTTGGCAAATCCATTCACAAGTGTTCGGACATCACTCGGCATTAGCTGTGGAGGTTAAATAGACCAGGAGTTAGCAAACTATGCCTGTAGCCACTGCCTGTTTATGATCTGAAAGTTGGGGATGGTTCTTACATTTTTTAATGATTGGGGGGGGAAAAATCAAAAGAACATCACCTTGTGACATGTGAAATTCATATTTCAGTGTTTATAAAGAACATGTTAGCCAGTGCTGGTGGCGCACACCTATAATCCCAAGGGCTCAGGAGGCWGAGGCAGGAGGCATTCATAGCCATCCTCAGCAAAAGCGAGGTACTAAACAACTCAGTGAGACCCTGTCTCTAAATGAAATATGGACATGAATTTCATCTCCTGAATGAATAACAGGCCTGGGGATGTGGCTCAGTGGTCAAGTGCCCCCCAGTTCAATCCCCAGCAAACCCCCCTTTCCCCTCCCCGCMTCCCCTAAAGGTTTTATTGGAACATAGACACACCCATTCTTTTAGTTTTTCCATTACTCCTGCAAAGTAGAATGACTGACAGCGACTATGTGGCCCATAAACCCCATATAATTATCCTAGCTCTTTATAGGAAAAGTTCATTTAAAAGTCTTATGCCCAAACTTGTTTTTTGCTTACACTAAATCCTGGCGATGAGACACACACGCTCCGCTCATGTAGTTTGATGAGGGCTGCGCTGTCCACATGCTTCGTTCCCAGGAGACTATCTAACAATAAGTTCTGCAAGTGGCTCATGCTCCCTTAGATCTGAAATGGGAACTACAGATGAAGCCATCTACTCTGGCTACCTCTTAAAAGGCCTGAGAATGCAAAATGTTTCTAAAACACTTCCTACAGCTTTAATATCAGCGTGGGTACTTTGAAAAAAATGAAGAGTGGAAATGGTGGCCCATCATCCAGTGTCCACCCCTCAAGGAGGAAAACAGAACCATAGAAAATCACTGTTCACACAGAGTGGGTTATGAGGCTGTTTGGAAAATCGCATAGCATCAGAGCTTTCMAGTTATGTTTGCATGAAAATCACCTGGGATTTAAAAACAAACTCAACGTGGTGGCACCCCCAAACCCAAAACCCTGAACTCCAAAGCAGCCAGAACGGAAAACTATGGAGCTAAATGAGTTATGAATCCTCAACATTCCCTTCCCGCTGACCAGCACCTGCRCCAAGGATAGACACTGATCAACACCCCCGGGAGTAAAAAGGAGTCCCTTAAATCAACATTAAAGTCCCTTAAACCAACATTTCCCGCCCAAGACCCAACATCTTGGACTGTGCTCAGCAGCACAACTCATCCACCGCGGGGATACCGAGGGCAGACGCCTCTTCCCCACCGCTCCCTTCCAGTAGTTTGGTCACGGGGATGCGGGGTGTCGGAGCCGGACTGGGAGCGGGGTGCGGGCGGCTAATCTCCAGCCCCGATGGCCCCGAGACGCACGCAAGGCACCGAGGACTTGAGGGAGCGGACGCCTGGGTACAGAGACGGCGGGCGTGGCGAGGACGGGCAGGTCAACCGCCGCGGGCGAAGGCGGCGGGATTGGCTGTGACGGCCGCCTGTCACCGAGGAGCACGGACTACGGCCAGTCGGCCGACCCGCGACCGTCGCGCGGCTCCGGGTCTCGCAGTCCTCCGCCCGCCTCGGCGTCCCCAGCGCAGCCTGGTGACGTCCTCCGCGGCGAGGGGCCGCGCGGGGCTGCGGCGCGGGGACACTGGAAGCGAACGTTCGTGCGTTCCAAAGCGCGCGCTCGGGCTGAGGCCGCAGGCCTGGGCGGGTGGCTTTCGGGCCCTGGGCCCAGCGTGGTGCAGCGCAGCCAAGTGGCCGGTGCACGCCGAGGGCGCGGAGCCCAGGTCTGGGGAGGCCGCGCGCGCCCCGCGCCCCAGGTGCCGGAGTGGGCGCCTAGATCTGCCCGCGCGCCCACCGACAGCCTCTGCCGCAGACGCAGGCCCTGGGGAGGCTGTGGTCTCTCAGAGTTTGAGGACTCGCAGATTTTGCCCGAAAGCCCCAGCTTCCCTTCTCTAAGGAGCTCGGCCTGCGCGCCGGTAGCCTGAAAGGTGCAGTTCTCCCCACACACGGCTACAAAAGGTAGAGAACGCTGCACACGGCACCCTCGAGGCCAGGCTGTTGCCAGCTGGCTGGTTTGGGGGTACTTGTAGTAGAAGAGGTTGGGCGTTAGTTCAGAGAGTCGCACCTGCTGCAAAACGTCTGGCTCCGGAGACGCCCTCAAAAGCCTGCGGGGGCTGGGCGCAGAGCGCACGATGCAGGCCCAGCGGCTCTCGAGGCCGAGGCTGGAGAATTGGAAGTTCGAGGCCAGCCTCAGCAAAGCGACTTAGTGAGAGCTTGTCTAAAACAGAAAATCACACCTTGTGGGGAAGCCCCTTGTTAGAAAAAACGTGGTTGGCTAGTGTTCAAACCCCATTTCACATCCGCTCAAAGTCAAAAGTATTGGTTGTTAAACAGAAAAGATGATGTCTGTGAATTTTAATTACTAAATGACTTTTAGTTTTTCTAGGGTCTCTGTTACTCGTGACCACAATGAAAAACGTGGGCAGCCCTGATCTGGTAACTGCCACACTTCCCAGAGTCAAGAGCTCAAAAGAATGGTTGGAACCACAGCTTGCCTTCACGGAGGTACATTGAGGTTCTTAGGTGGGTGGATGGTGTAGGCGATGGCTGATGCTACATGGTATTTTTTCTGTTGCTTTCTGTTTCTCTTTAATAGTCTCTTTGCTTTTTCACTTTTTAGCCTCTTAAGGTGGAATTATATAGGTCGTTGACCTGTCTCTCTCTCTTTTTTTTTTGGGGGGGGGGTACCAGGGATTGAACTCAGGGTCATTTGACCACTGAGCCACATCCCCAGCCCTATTTTGTATTTTATATAGAGACAGGGTCTCACTGAGTTGTTTAGCGGCCTTGCTGTTGCTGAGGCTGGCCTTGAACTTTCAATCCTCCTGCCTCAGCCTCCGGAGCAGGCTTGTGCTATTGTACCCAGCTACTTTTTTTTTTTTAACTCAACAAAGCTGTAAGTTCTTGAAGTACTGCTTTACCCAAATTTTGATGTGTTTTAATTTCTTTTTTTAAACAGTTTTACTAAGGTATGATTGACACAATAAACTGCATATATTTAAAGTGTATATTTTGGGGTTTGGAGATTGTGTGTGTGTGTGTGTGTGTGTGTATCTCCCTCTGTCCTTTTGTAATCCACCTCTTCACCCCTTGCAACACTGCTTTGCTTTCTGTCACTATAATTTAATTTACATTTACATTTTAAATATATATATATATATATATATATATATATATATATATATATATATATAATTATTTATAGTGAACTCAATACCTTTATTTTCTTTTTATGTGGTGCCGAGGATTGAACACAGTGCCTCACACATGCCAGGCAAGCAGTCTGCCACTGAGCCACAACCCCAGCCCTTGCATTTACATTTTTAATGCAAATGGTATCTTACAGTATGTAGTCTTTTTCTCAGTCTTGTTTCACTCATCATAATTATTTTGTAGTTCACCAATGTTTGATTTCTCTTTTTGCTGAATGTTATCTCATTAGATGGGTATATCCCAATTTGTCCACTGTATTGATGGACATTTGGGTTGTTTCATCTTTGGCTTTTATAAATAAAGCTGTTGTGAGCACTCACATACATGTTGTTTTATAGACACATGCTTTCATTTCTCTTGAGTAGATATCTAGACGAGGAATGACTGGGTCATATGGTAAATGAAATTAACTTTTTATAATGGGCCAAATTGATTTCCAAAGTCATTAATTACTTTACATTCCCAGTAATAATATCTGAGAGTTTCAGTTTTTTGTATTCTAACTGATATTTGATTTGATCTGTGAACTATGGGGTTTAGCAGTCTGGCTGATTTAAAGGAAGTACCCCTGGGTCTATGTGACCTCTTAGGATTGGTTATCTAATTCTTTCAGCACTGTCCACCCCAACCCCAGTGTTTCTTTAGGGGTTTCCCACATGCTGATAGGGTTAAACTCGTCTGAAGGCTCAGGGGGACCTTCTGTAGCTCTGATCTTTTGCAGATCTCCAGAGCCTTTTTGTGGCTTGTCTTCCCCACGTACCCTACTATCTTCCTGGGCTTCCCCCAGACTCCTAGATCCTTCTCAGTTTAGGGAGACACATGGGCTCTTTGTTTTTTGCTTTTTAGGGGCCTCTATCCTTCATTGGCTGGTGTTCAATATCTTAAAAATGACTGTTTCATTTATTTAATATTTTTTAGTTATTTGGGGTGGGAGGAGTACATTTATTCCTTGTTACTCTTATGTCTGAAAGTGGAAGTTCTTATCTAGCCATTTTTCTCTTCAGATGTTCCATTTTTTTTTAACTCCTTACTTTTGCAAATCTGATTACCCATTTGTTAACTCTTTCAACATTGTTTAATAGGCAACTATGGCTCTGTTAATTATTTTCCAATTTTTTTCTCACTTTTTTTAGACTGAATTGTTTTTCGTTTTAAATTTATTTTATTTGTTTATTTATATGTGGTGCTGAGGATCAAACCCAGCACCTCGCACATGCTAGGCAAGCGCTCAACCACTGAGCCACAACCCCTGCCCCACAAGACTGAATTGTTGTTTTTTTTTTTATACTGTGTCTTCAAGTTCACTGACTCTTTTTATGTCATCTCCAATTTGCTGTTAAACCTACTCAGATTTGTTTGTCTAAATTTAAGAATTGAATTTTCCTACTTAGTTTTTTTTTTTTTTAATTCTGTTTCTCTGATAAGATTTTCTATTCATTGACTATGGGCATATTTCCTTTCAGTTCTTTTTTAATATTATTGGTTGTAGATGGACACAATACCTTTATTTTATTTATTTTTATGTGATGCTGAGGATCAAACCCAGTGCCTCAAACGT